CCGATCGTGTTATAAGACCAATTTGCGCAGAATCTTCTATGGTCATCAGGAAACACAGAGAAAGTCTTGGGATGACATCAACGAACAGATTCGCCACTGCTAGATTGATTGATGCCGTGTTTCAAATCTGCATAAAGACTCGTCATTATGAATCTTTATCATTACAATCTATCTGGCAACGGAAGTTGATTATTTAAATGGATACATAATTAAATTAGGAGATGCTTATAATATTCTTACCCCATAAATCAATATTTAACAGACATGGTAAAAATGAGACATAATCTTCAAATGAATTCATAACGTTTATATGGTTTATTGAAATAACTTTTTTCCTCAATGAAGGATAGGAGTTAAAAAAAAAAAAGGTTAATCAAAGAAATAAATATAATAATAAATATACTTGTGCTAATTGCGAATTATCAAAAATTTTTTTTTTTAATGCATTCTATCTATACATATTTTTTCTATAAAATAAATTGAATAATTACCATAAATATATGTCATTTTAACCTAATATTTAAATATACTTTTATCATAATTTAAACTTAACTAAATTTTTTATTTGAAAAATATTTAAATATAATATAGATTGGAAGTTATTTTATTGATCATTAATATTTAATTATACTTTTTATTATAATTTAAATTTAACTAAATTTTTTATTTACATAATTAAAGAGAGTAAGTTATTTTTTGATTATTAGTATTTAATTATATTTTTATTGTAATTTATACTTAACTAAATTTTTTATTTAATAAATATTTAATAATTAATAATGTAATAGATGGTAAATTATTTTTAAAAATTATTAGTATTTAATTATACTTTTTACTATAATTTAAACTTAACTAAATTTTTTATTTAAAAAAATTTAAACAATTAAATTTTTATTTAAATAAATATTCAATAATTAATGATAAAATAGATAGTAAGTTATTTTTATTAATTTTTAGCATTTAAATATACATATTACTGTAATTTAAATTCAATTAAATTTTTTATTTAAAAATTTAAGAAAGTAAGTTATTTTATTAATTATTAGTATTTAATTATACTTTTTATTATAATATAAACTTAACTAAATTTTTTTTAAAAATAATATAGTAGATGGTAAATTATTTTATTAATTATTAGAATTTAATATTCTTATTTTTATTAATTTTTAGTATTTAAATAATACTTTTTATTGTCATTTAAATTTAACTAAATTTTTTTTTTAAAATATTTAATAATAGATGGTAAATTATTTTATTTATTTTTAATATAATAATTTAATAATTAATAATTAATAATATAAAATATAATATAATTAAAATTTATATATTTAAAATTTAATAAGTTTTATATTTTTATTTTGATAATTATATTAAATATTAATTATAATATTAATATAAAATTATTTTTTAGAAATAAAAAAAAATGCTTAAATTGTAATAAAAAAAAAAAATACTAGATATAAATAGTATAACAAATATCATTTTAAATTATTTATAAAAAATTTTTTTAATTGGACTAGTAAAAATAAATTTATTCAAAAAATACTTAAAATAAAAAATAATTATTAGAATGAATTCCTTATAATAAATTTAAAAATATTGAGTATCTTGATAAAAAAGGATTTAATATTATATATAAAGCTATTTAGATTAGTGAATTTATTTTAACTATTCATTTAATAATAATCATTGGATTAAAATTGACAAAATTGATATAATTCTTAAAACTTTTAAATTTAAATGAAAAATTTCTAAATAAATTATAATATTATTTATTATTTTTAATTTTAAAGAATAATATTTTAGTGAAAGTATCATCATTCTAATTAAAAATATATATAGATGAAAAATCTTATTGAAATTTACAGTTTTACTTAAAATCTAAATATACATTAAATTATATTATAATAATGCAATATACATAAAATAGTAAGTTAAGAAAAAATTTATCAAACATAATTGAAGATAAATGAATTATATAATTATCAAATTAAAATAATATTATTAATGAATTTAATGAAATCCATCAAAAAATCTACAGTAATTTATTGTGATCTTTATCATAATAATATTTTAAATATTAGAAAAAATAATTTATCTAATAGTATATAAACCTGTAGATTATTTTTAAACATCTAAGAAAAATAATATATATGGTATTTTATTATTTGTAATGTTAACATGTAATTTTTGTGAATTACAACTATTAGATAAGGTATTCAAATAGTTTATTCTTTTTAATTGAGTAGTAATCGTTTGATAAATTAATAAGTTTTACTTTAAGCAGATTGTCAGAGGTATTTATACAATGATTTTTAATGACTCAATAATTTGAAATAATTATATTGTTAAAAGATAGATTTATTTATGAGTAAGATAATAAAATAAAGAAAAGAAATATCAAGAAATGAGTAAAGAAAAAAAAGAAAAGAAATAAGTACTGAAATATAACACGATAGATCAGTTATCTCTAAACTACGAAAAACTAACTTATTTAATCTATTTTTTATATGAGCTAAAAAGACTACCTATTTATATAAAATAAATTATATAGAAAAATATAGCTACTATATTATATTTGTTAATTATATTAACTATATCTACTTTATCTACTATATTAATTATATCAATTATGTTAGTTATGTTACATATATCAGACATATTAAAAATGATAGATATGTTTAATTTGTTATCTTAATCGATCATCTGCATTATATATATTATATTATATTTATCTATTAACAATAACTTATGAAGTTTTAAGAGAATAATCTTATATATTAACTAGTAGTATATATAGATTTTCTATAATTATATGAAAATTAATATCTGAAATTTCTTCATTTAATAATAAAGCTCATGATTTTTAACTTAGTTTAGATATTTATAAAGTAAAAGATCTCAGATTATTAAAAATTTTCTACAATATTATATAAATTTAATAAAAAAATGTTGGGATAAAGATTTATTAAAAAAGTCAACTATATCAGAAATTAAAAGATTATTAATAATTGGTTAAATATATTAAAAGTAAAGATTTTGATAAAGTATTTATAAATAATATAATAGAATTTATAACAGTTATTTACTAAATTTTATTGAAAATTAAATCAAGTTTTAAATGAAAATACTATGAAATTAAATTTAATAAAAATAAAAGTAATGATTATAATATTTATAAATATAAAATTTTAAGATTTTAATTAATATATGTTTTAATTTATAGAATTTTTAAATATTATAGAAATAATATAAATATTTAATTTAAATTAATTATAATATATATTATATATTTATAATATATTATTTTATTAATATAACTCAAATATTTATTTTAATATACTATAATTATTATATTTAAATAAATATTTTTATAAAAAAATTAAATTAAATAAATATTCTTCAAAAATATATAATTAAAATAATTTAATTAATCATAAATATATATATTATCACCAGATTCATTTTTAGTTATCTTAACATCGAAATCAAAAGGTTATAATAATTGATTTTTTATATTAAAGTTTCTGATTTTAGGATTTTTTCTAAGTCTTATGAATATCTGTAATACTCAAATCAACTTGACAATTTATTACATCTTAGCATTTAAAATATATTTAATCAAACTTATAATGATAAACTCAATAGCAAGTTAGTATAAGGTATCATAACAAATCTTAAATAAGAAATAATATTGAAAGTAAAGTAATTTGTATAGATTTAAATTGATTTTTTTATTAATAACTTAAAATTTATAAGAAATTGACAGATGAGTTTATAAATTTACAACTAAGTTTTTAAACTTACAAATGAGTTTATAACTTACAAATGAGTTAATTTATAACTTAAGCAAAAAGTTATTCTATTTATATAAAATTAATTTACTATAGTTAACTATTTACTATGCTATAAATTAACTATTTGAGTAAACTTTAGCTATAAAATAATAATAAAAGAAAATAAAAGAATGATATAAAATATAAGTTATATAATACAAAATAAGAAAATAAATAAATATAATGAAGACATTTAACATTAAAAAATTATCTATTATTGTGAATATAAAAATATTAGAAGAATTAGATGGATTTAATCAAATAGATAAATAATGTAAATCTATAGCATTTTTCTGATTTGTCTTTCACAGTAATTGTTGATCAATATTGTATATTATCACCTGATAATTCCCACATAATATTTTTTGCATTTGTAATGATATCTATTTCTAATGTAATAATGTTTATAAAATTTTTTATAAATTTAATATTAGCTAAAATATTTATATTAAAGTTCTTTAATATTAGAATTAATATATATTTTTATTTTTTAAATAGAAATTAATAAAAATATTAGTAAATAAATTTATATCATTTAATATTAATAATAGTATTATTTTTAGTAATTTATTTTATAAAATTAAAAATAAATATAAAAATAATTTTGTTAATATAATATTATATAAATAATATATAAATAAATCTTAAATTATTTTAAAAATATTTCAAATATAAATATAAAAATGTTATACTTAATTATTTAAATAACAAATAAGCTAAAATTAATTTATAATATAAGTTATATATATATAATAAAATTTTACATAAAAATTTGCAAAATTACTTAATGATTAAAAAAGTAATTGTAGATTTTGTATAGAAGTATTAATTTATATTAAGCTAAAAAAAGAAATTTTGAATATGATAATAATATATATTATAAAAATAATTAATAAAAGTTTAAATATTTTTAATAATAATTAGTATAAAATATTTAAATTATAATTAGAACAAAATTCTAAAAAATTTTTATTTAAAGTAAATTTTACTAAAAAATAATTTTTACTTTTAGCAAATAATGAATAGTTTATTTTATATTGAATTTTAGAATAATATCTGAAAGTTATTAGCTATTTTAATGATTCTAGTATAATAGAATTTTTATTATTTCTTTAATTATTAATTTTTATTATAATAAAATTTATACTTTAGTATAAATTGATGAATTACCAATTAAATTATATTTTACAAATGAATTGTATTTTAATAGATATAATTATTATATTAATAATTTATAAAATGTTAAATTAATATAATTAATTTTGATATAATCAAATTAATTAGTGTTAAAGTATAATAAAACTTATATATTAGGTTCTTTTTTAGGTATAATAATAGATTAATATAATAAAACTATTTTA